TTAATTGTGTTGTTAAATTCGCTTCTATTTCATGTGTTTAATGGTAAACTAAACAAAAGTTCAAAATAATTAAAAAAAAAGTCTTTTAGAAACAAAATAAAAAAAATACTCATAAAATATCAAATTTTATCTTCATTATATTTGTCGTGATAAATAATAATATCGTAGGGAAAAATAATGTTCGCTTTATGTGCATCAAATAATGGCAGGAATTTTGCTGTTAAAAAAAAACGTGTTCGAAGGAAACTCTGTTAAAAATTAAAGATAATTATCAAAATTAATTTTCCTGAGAGCGTGTTTTTAACATTTGTATTTAATAAATCATTTTTGAAGTCAGGTAACATTACTTAATTCTCTGTTAGAGAGAACTGTCGTGGCAAGGTTTTGTAATTTTTTCTTCAATTTGACGTTGTAAAAAGTTACATCGCAGTAGAAGATCGAACCAAATTCAACCAATTTTTCACCCTCTCGCAACAGAAACAGAATTTAAAGAAATAAAATTGAAGCTTATCTTTAGTGTATTTCCTTTTTATGAGTAATAATTTCATAGACAAGGATGTTAAATTAATATTAAGGGGAAAATGTAAAATTTAACTTAAAAATATTAAGTAAACTTCCTCGTGACAAGCTCAAGATTAGTGAATTTCGAACAAAAAGTTTGTTTCTGAAATTGAATATAAAACATAAAATAATACAACAAGTGTGAAATAAATAAATAAAACTAAATAGTAATTTCATTTAAATAAGTTAAAGTTAGCTGTAAATGTAAAGGTGTCTATGGATTTATTAATCTGCCTATAGCAGGAAAATGCCGGAAATCCGAACAAAAATTAAAATACTTTGCTCCCATTGACCAAGAAGCATAGAAATAGACTTCAAGTTCTTTCCCTTAGTTGAACCCTGATTAGGCCTGGAGTATAGAACGCCATGTAGAGAATTCAAAGTGAGACAGGGTCCGGCAACACGTAACCTACTTGACAAGTTTTAGAAAGCGGATAGACAGAGAGAATTAGCAGGTCGTAAAGGTTAACATATTGCTTCGAACAACGAAAGACATGAAGCTCTGGGGAACTATGTTTGTTTGCGTCCTGAAGAAACATGGCATACACACACACACACACACACACACACACACACACACACACACACATATATATATATATATATATATATATATATATATATATATATACACAAACTCTCTCTTACACACACACTCTCTCTTTCTATCGTTGGTAAGATACAACTTTATATTTGGCAGATTTTTTTCTTTTTCCTAATTTAAAAATATTCTGCATCATACTCTATGTAATCATTAAAATGAAGGAAAGGTTTGCCGTATTTCTTTCACATTCTACCCAGGAACACTTAAATTATATAAACATATATCAAATTAAGTTAACGAACCGTTCGGACTAAGGAGAAGGTGACTTTCAGAAAGGAGAAGTTACCTTTCAGAAAGTAAGGAAAATATTAAGAGATATGAAAATGCCGCCAGAAATATGTAAAATATTACTGAACTGCTATGTAATATCTAATATGCAATTAAGCAGTGATTGTTTAAGCATCTCTTCACATATGGTTTACACAGTAACGGACATTTGGTGCGACCAATACTTGGCAGGCTAGAATCAAACAGATGTAAAAATTGAACTACCTCTGAATAGTGTAGATACAAAACACAGAAAAAGTGGAGAGAAATTTGAAGGCCCATACGAATAACGAGAGATGACTATAAAAATTAAGCACATTATTATGAGAGGTGAAAATTTCTATAGAAACATGGAAGATATATATGAAGAGTGATATATTGCTATAGAATATCGAATCGTTTAAATATAAGCAAGCGAAGAAATAGTTTATATATTTGGCATGTTTCGCATTTGTTATAGCTTCATCGGAAATGTTTGTGTAAATGAAGGAACATAGACAACGTATCGGTATTTCGAATTCTAAGCTGTTTGTTTTCCTTAGTCAAGTACATATCACGTGCTTATATCCTGTGGCATTTATTTTGTGTGTTTCTAAATTCTAGTGAACGGTTTTGCGTCTGTCTCGAAGTGTCGGTGTATATGTCTAATTCATGAATATGGCAGTGGAAAAATGCAAATGTATGGTTGTGTGTGTGTGTGTGTGTGTGTGTGTGTGTGTGTGTGTGACCTTTCTAGTTGGGAGTGCGGTGGCTGGTAATAGAATCAATGCGTGAATAAAGTGACGATTAAATTTACGTTAATAATTTTGGAGTAAATTTTATTGCCATCATTGTTGTTATTATTGAATAAAAATCGTGTGTATCGGAAACTGTAAGATGTGTAGTGAAAATGGTTTTGTTATTACACATTTGATTGAATGATTATTAGTGTTGTTGTTGTATAGACTTTTCAGTTTCATTATTTGTAATTTTTTGAGTAATAGGAAGTATTTAGTGTGTGTTGAAGTGTCTTAGTGTGCTTTTCTCAAGTGTGTGGACCATGTCGGAATTATGGAAGCGAATATATGAAATAAGGTTACATCATCAGAGGTTTGACAATCACCTTAATAATTAAGAAGGGACATAGATGTGGTTCTGTCTACGACTGTTGAGGAAACTATGGACACAACCTATAAGGTAACAAGTAGAAAGAAACTCATGATAAAGACAAAAAGAGACAGTTGAAATCACGGCGCATATTTTAAGAAGTTTAACCAAAGGGAAAATTAATGCAACCTTCTTAACGACTTTGAATGAATGGATTGCAGAACAAGATCCCAGATAGATTGCAGAACAAGGACACTGGTGGATTGCAGAACAAAATCACATATGGTTTGAAGAACAAGTTCACAGATGGATTACAGAACAAGGTCGCTGATGGATTGTAGAAAAGTTCTACTAATTGCAGAACAAGGTCACAGGTGAATTACAGACCACAGGTCGCTGATATATTGCAGAAAAATGTCACAGATGAGTTGCAGAACACAGGTCGCTGATATATTGCAGAAAAATGTCACAGATCGGTTGCAGAACACAGGTCGCTGATATATTGCAGAAAAATGTCACAGATGAATTACAGAACACAGGTCGCTGATATATTGCAGAAAAATGTCACAGATGGGTTGCAGAACAAGGTCACAGATGGTTTGAAGAACTATGTCACAGATGGATTGTAGAACATAGTCACAGATTATATGAAGAACAATGTAACAGACGGATTGCAGAAAAATGTCGCTGATAGGTTGCAGAACAAGGTCATATATGGATTGCAGAAGAAGGTCACATGTTTTGAAGAACAAAGTCACAGATAGATTGCTAAACAAAACCACAGCTTGTTGGTAAAGTGTTAAAAGTTATTAACGTGGCAAAAGACAGGATATTTGGGAAGGCAATGATCACCAATGTTACTTAAAAGACACAACAACTAAATTATGTTTTATCGGGAAGGATAAAATTATAACTGAACGACCTGGTGAAATAGGATAATTGCATTTGAAATTCATTATTTAACTGAAACACTAATATCTGTTGAACATTTGGCAATTTACAATGTTTTTCTGGTTTTCGAAAGCAATTAATAATCAATTTCAGTCGATCATTGAAAGTCTTGTCTCCTCTACATAACAATTTTCTATTTCAAATAACTGAAAAGAGGCGATTACAGTGTTGACTCGAGCATCTATAGTGTGACAGCGTGAATAAAAGTGAATAAACTGAATTCAGTACATGTTCTTTGTATTACTTTATTGTTATATTGTTCATTATTTACATTATTCGGACTATTGTCCCCATCTTTATCGCCATATTATTACAACGTTTAGGCCGTTGTACTCTCCGGACTACTTCAGGTGGTTGGAATGTCGAACTGAACACTTTATTTCGCTCACTGGGGTAGACTGTTCTAGTATCACGTGCCATGTTCTAATGGATGTCAGTTATCAGTTATATACTGTTAATTCACTAGGTTCTCCACTCACACTCTTTGGGTCCTGTCACTGGATATAACTAACGAATTTATGCACTGTGCCAAGGACACATGGCACAGTGGATAAAGGCGTTAGTTAGATCCAGTGACAGAACCCAAAGAGTGTGAGTTCAATACCCGGCTAAGGCAGTGGAAAACTTGGAGAGGGAATTAACAGGAGATAACTGAAAAATGACATCCATTAAACATGGCACGTCGAACTAGAACAATCTAGCCCAGTGAGCGAAATAAAGTGTTCAGTTCGACATTCCAACCACCTGAAGAAGGCCGGAGCGTACAGAGGCCGGAGCGTTGTAATAAATATGTCGACAAAGAGGAGGACAATAATCCGAATAATGTAAATAATGTACATAATGCCTCATCTCAGAAATATAGACAGATATTGTTCTGTTGTTCTCATTACTTTTTGGTAGAATGCGACAAGACTTTCAGACTACTCTGTTGTTCGGAGTAGAGAACTACTTATCGCAATGTTAGGAATGCAATTTTTATTCAGAGTTATAGACAACATTGATGAGCTCTATCATATTTTCCGTTAAAATTTAAAGAAATACGAATATGACAGTTACAAGTTTTATCATCTGTCCTATCAGGGATTTTTTCTGTCGTCAGTTTAACCTGATACGTTCTTTGATTTTCCATATAATCTAAACTATAAACTATAATTTGTGAAAGATTTCACTTAAATATTTAGGAATATTGTTTTCATCTGAAATAAAGGAAACACGAACTTTCAGCAAAGTGTTCACCATGAATGCATAAAGCATCAATTGTAACCTATATCCCCTCCCCGAAACCAGTTTAAATTAAGACATTCTTTGTTAATTATATTTAGGAAATGAATATTTTGCTGAAATATGCTGGGAGATTTCCAGTTTTTCGTCTGAAATCAAGAAAACATCAGCAAAATAGTGATTGATTAATTTTTTACGGCTTATCAACCCTTCGCAGTTCAGACTCCCGGAGGTCAAAATTGATCTTAGGTATATAGCTGAAAATTGACAGCTTCTTTTTTTCCTATTTTGTCACTATTTTTCTAGGATACGGTCACGTTACGTTGAAAGACCTGTCCCCGTACGATCACCGTAGTTAAACAGCCTGGTACTTCAATGGGTGACCACTCGGGAATACCAGGTGCTGTAAGCTTGGCTATGTGGGTGCTGTAGTGGATAATGGCTAGGAATCATTAATCAAAAACCTGAGTACCAAATCCACTTCGATTCGTTATCTTCTCATACGCACAAGTACCGTTTTTCTGGCTTTAAAACCTGAAACAATTATTAGATTGTATGAATTTTTTTAAAGATAATAATGGTTTAATGATACATGTCTTACTAATTAACCCATAGTTGGGAAAGAAGAGGTGAATTCACATATTTTCCTAGGGTATTTACCGTAAGTGAATATAAGAGTTGAAATGGATTTGTTGCTCAGCTTTTATATATATATTAAAAAAAATCCGAGTCATTATCTATAACACCACTCACTTACAGCCCCTGGTATTCTCAAGCGGCTACCAATCCAGGTATTGACCAGTCTTGCCGTTGCTTAACTCCGGTGATCTTATGGAAACCGGTGTTTCAAAGTGACGTGACCGTACACCAATAAAATATTGACAATATATGAAAAAAAAACAAAAAAACTGTCAGTTTTAGCCTATATATCTAAGAATGTCAATTTTGAGCCCCGAGAGTCTAAACTGCCATCACAGATTTTGATCAGTTAACTTCCAGTTCTATGCTACAACGTCTATAATTACAGGCCCATTGCAGCTCTTCCCTGGTTGTGTAATCACATCACCGGTCAGTCTTGTACTTTCGTCATTATTGCTTCAGTCATATCAGAAACTCATTTTAACCACTATTTCGCTTTTGGGTGGATTGATATAGATTTGATCTGATAGTATTTCCGATTTAGAAGAAGAAATAAAAACAATTTATTCTTTTTAATGAAATTGTGATTCCCTGAGTTGATAATCAAGAGATGAATTGACCCTCGCCAAATATTTGGAGGCGATGTTTATTTTGATAAAACAAAAATATAACGCATAGACCTATAATTAGGGAAAACAGAGCTACAAGTGTTCAATAGTGCGGGGGAAGTTATTAAATTCCAAATAATTCAAATATATCGTTGTCTAGATACGTTATAACAAATTTAATATGAGATAAAGGAAATTGAATAAAAGATAGGCTACACCAGGGGTTAATGTTGTCCAACACCCTAAGATGCTACAGAACTCAAATATTCACATGAAAAATCATGTTCATAAAATTTAGAAATGTCACTATTGGTTGTCAAGATTGCGCTCCAACTTATTCAAAATATCTAATCTAGTACAAGGCCCAAGAGCCACTGAAGGTAGAGTTATACAGAGGAAGAGATAAAGTTTCTGGGGATATCTATGGAAGATAACGATTGACCCTGTAACAAAATTAGTACTAGATAAAGAAATATTGAATATAGGATAGGTTGCACCCGGGGGTAGTGTTGTTCAACACCATAAGATAATACAAAATATTAATCTGAAATCTCGAGCCATGTTTTCCAATAGCCTCGTCATATCTAGGCTCTCATAGATGTTATTGATGGTGTCCAACGCGTACAGAGATGTCTTAATTATCAGTTATATACAACCGGTTTTTAGATGAATCTTGCTGATTCCCAACAGCAATTGAAGAAGTTCGTGGCACGTCTGAATAGAATAAGAAATAATGATATAATCAAGATGTTAACTTTCCATTCTGCCATAAAGAAAAGGTTCGGAAGGAAACTCCAATCAATGCTAAAATGAACGAAAAACGGTAAATGAACTTGAGAATTCCCTTAAAAATAAATGTTTGAAGGAAAAGATTTTATAAAACTCTTCGGTCAAATAACGCCTACGGTTTCTAGTGTAGAAACGGTTAACCAAATAAGAAAAACCACTTCACTTGTAGAATATAGGCAACTGTAAATGTCCGTAGCACATGTCACTAGAAGGGAAAATAATTGAGCTTTTAACCTTCCATACTACAAAAAATAAGATTTGTATAGAAACTCCCATCATCATTAGAATGAGCAAAAGCTCAATGGACTTGAGAATTTCCTAGAAAAATGTTTTTGTCAAAGAATGCCTATTCTTTCTTGTATGGAAACGATTTATTTCCCGATTACATTTACCATTCCTCTCTTGACATTAAGTTATCTTGTCGCCTTCATTAACCCAGATAGACTTCATTATTACTTTAACGACAACGTCACATTTATTCCGAATTCTTCGCTCGGCAATTACCAAAAAATTCAAAATACTCTCTATGTAAATTCTAAGTAATAACTATATTTACAATTTTCACATGGGAAGGAAAGTAAAAACAAATTATTCATAATTTACAATTTGAAAAATTTCCCTTAGGATTTGAAAAGATACGAAATGATATTTGTTGCAATTATTTACAGAAAAAGAATGGAAAGTGACTCACTCGTACAGCCCAATACGTCAGAAAAGAAAAAAGTTAACCGTACGAAAAATGATGTCGGAAATCGTTTAAAAGAAGCAAAAATGTACCTATGTATGTAGAAAACAGCCTAAGAAAGATATAGCTCCACTATAGACATCTACAGTTATGTATCTTTCTGCCAAAGATTTTGACTGTCTTTTCAGCATTTATAAAGCTTAGCCTAATTTGGCAAATTTACATATATGTAGGTCATCAGAAATAATCAAATTCACTAGATTAGTAATGTTCTGCGAAACGACTTTGTTGATCAGAGTAAGTTGTTTGCTTCAAATTCATCTTTTATGAGCTGTGTCCCTTCAGCGAGTAGTCGATGATGGCCCTCAACAACTCCCTATCCTTTGTAGCTCTAAATAGTATTTGCATACTCTTACTGCGACTCGTAACCTCTGTTCAACCAACCATAGCTACTAAAATAAGTTCCTTGATATTTTGCTTTGACTTGCTTACTTTTTAGAAGGCCCTGTGAGTGTCAATTTCTTCAAGCTCACTTTCCTCACGATACGTTTCACCCGCTTATTTCTAATTCTAAATACAAGTCACATTTTTGTTACCATTTTCCTCTAAACTTCTTCGTTAATTACAAGCTCTATCGAGGGTATTCATTTTTATGGGCTATATCCCTTCAAGACGTGGGCGATGATCGGCCATTGTAGCTGTAAGCATTTATTCTACCCTTACTGTGCCTCTCCATCTCTGTTCTGCCAACCATGTACTTAAGCCCCTTAAATAAGTTCCTCAAGATTTTCTTCTGACCGCCTTGCTTTCATAGGTCCTGTAAGTGTCAATTTCTTCGAGCCCTTTTTCCTCACTGTGTATCTCATAAAAAGCACCTGTTTATTTCTAATACTAATTACAAGTGACATTTTCATTTTTCTTGTTACTTACACGCTCTATCCAGGGTATTATCAGTAACGTGTTGTAGTAAGTCTATTTGTCATATCTGAAGAGAGTTCCTAGCATTCACTGCATGGGACGATCGATAATAATGAATAGTTTGGTTCTTCAGTATCTGTCTATATTTCTGAAATGAGGTATTATGTACATTATTTACATTATTCGGACTATTGTCCTTATCTTTGTCGCCATATTTATTACAATGTTTCGGCCGTACACTCCTGCCTTCTTCAGGTGGTTGGAATGTCGAACTGAAATTAGAATTATTTTAGAATTAGAAATTAAAATTATTTTAGAATTAGAAATTAGAATTATTTTAAAATTAGAAATAAACGGTTGAAATTTCAGTTCGACATTCCAACTACCTGAAGAAGGCCGGAGTGTACAACTGCTGAAACGTTATAATAAATATGGCGACAAAGATGAGGACAATAGTCTAAATAATGTAAATAATGTAGTTTAGTCCTGATCATTTTGTATCTAGCTACATTTTCTTGTTTCTTAATATTTTGTTCAGCTTTTGGAAGGCATCTTTCGCTATTCAAATGTGCCTTCCAATTTCTGTGTCGTATTTTCCATCACCTGTTAGAACACTAAGCAGAAAGTTAAGTTTAATTTTCTTCCTTGATTTTGAAATTTCCAGTATGTTTTTTTCTTCTTAGAATTGTTGCTTTTCTTTACTAGCTTGTCTAATCACTTTAACAACGCTCGCATTTATTCAGATTTGTATTTTCCATTAACAGTCTCTGATATTATTCCACTGAGGGTAAACTCTTGACTTGTATGTTCCAGACTACAAAGTCATTGTTGTGACCCATAACTGCCAATATCTTATGCTCAACCCGATTTCACCGAAGAACTGTTTTAATAGAATCAAGTCATTAGCATTGGCTTCTCGGTCAAGGAATATCGAATGTTTCCTTATAAAGAAACAGTTAAAATTTCCATTGCCATAAATTACTTAGAAATTACTTTTTTTCCTTTTCGGATAGGAAAATAAAAATTAGAAGATATGTACTTCAGGAAATCTGAATAAGAGATTCGTATTTCTTAAATAGGGTAATTGAAACTTGCTTGAGAGCGGAAGTCATCTGCAGCCGAGTGTTCAGAAGGCTGGCTTAAAGGTTGTACATTGAAGGAACGCATACTTTCTTGAAAAAAACAAACATGTGTATCCACTAATTATTGCGTTTAAAGCAAAAAAGAACACGTACAAACATATAGATACATAAATACACATATAAGTAGCTCCAAAGAAAAGCGATATCTTTTTTTTAAAATAGAAAATCTGTTTTGAGGTTTTTATTTCAGTTTTAATTTCAAGCTAATAGATGTAATATTCTCAATAAGAAAGAAATCATTATTTGTAGGAAACAATGAATCTGATGTATTTCAAAACGAATTTAAATTGACTGAAAGTTGTTTTTTATCGCTAAAAATGACTAATTTTAGCCATATTTACAAATCTCTTAAGGCATGGTAATTCTCTTTATCAGAAACGATTTAAAAAAATAAAATATAATTTTATGAAACTTTATTTGAAGAAGATTAGCAAATTTAAAGTTTAATTAATCTGAGTTGAAACAATTATTACTTTCAGTTTGAAATATTGCTAAAAGCATTTTTAACTCAGTGTTTGGTGTTTTTAAAGTGGGGTGACAACTTTCTCGGAAAACTTTTCTTTTATCTACGGCAATGACGAAGCTTTGTGGAAACGCAAAGAAAATTTATACTTAATATAAGATAGAAA